CTCGATGAATGCGGCGTTCGGCTCGCAGGAATGCGAAATAAAGCGGGTAATGGAGCCGCAGCGAAGGGCGTCGACGTACACGAAGTTGTTGTTGACCAACTTCGCGTTGTACAAGAGCGTGTAGCCGCTGTTCTGCCTCACTGCAAGCGGTGGCTGCCCTTCTACCATTGCGGACTGGCCTGACCTTGCATCGTGTGCTGGGTTTTACGGTGATTTTCAGGCGGATACATGTGAACTTATTGTTTCTCAGATATTTGGTAGCTATGAACCGTCTTCACAAGCTCATTTCGCAAAAGGTCCACCAGCACACAGACCTCAAATAGTGGTGCGACGGGGAACGCGCAGTGAAAAGGATGCGTTCGTTGCGCGACTACATGGCAAGACACCAGAAGAAAGGGCACGGTTAAATACAGAGCACCGTGCCTACCCCAAAGGGGAGAGGGATATTCATGCAGACTTCGGGACTGAAGTCTCTTCTACAACTGCCATCGAGCAGCCAGCGACAGCTCCGGCTGCATCTCCTGCTCGCGCCCCCTCCCTCCCCTGAAAGCTGCATGCTACATATAGGCAGAAAAGGCTCGCGAGAGAAAACGTTTGGCGGAAGTCGCTGCAAAAAAGAAGGACGCTTCCGAAAAGAAAAAAAAGGCCAAGGTCTCGGCACGGATCTACGAAAGAAGGACAAGTAGTCCAAGGAGGCAAGGGCAATGGCACGTGTTGCGAGAGATGCTGCCGCGATGTCCGCGAAGAAGAAGACCGAGCGGGAGCGGCTAGCTGCGGAAGAGATTCGAGGAGATGAAGCTCGCAACGCAGCATGTAGAGTCTTCAAAACCGTCAATAAAAGAATTGGATGCTGCAGCAAAGACTAACAAGACTGGGAAAACGGAAGACTGCTTCGGTGCGGACAGCACGTGGAAAGAAGAAAAAGAAGACAAACCCTCATGTTGCCGTTCCTGAGGACGAAGGTGCTGACGACGAGCGTGCCAGTTCCTCCGCTCCGTCACCAACTGAAGCAACTCCTCGTAGAGGTGACCAGTAGAGGTGACCAGTACGTATGGGATACATGTGGTATATACTACATACTAGCATTCTAACGTTGTTGTATATTATGCATTATGTTTGCAGGGAATTTCCACCTTCCAATGCATCACCGGAGTCGAACATTGCTTTGAGTTCTTCACGCCAAGCAGCCTGGTGCGTTCCTCCATCCAAGAAGTATATACAACATGTTTCAAAAGATTCATGCTGACATGTACTACTGACATGTTCTACGTGGACAAATACAGGTCTCTCGACATGGAATCTACCGAACGTGCTGCCGCAGTGGCAACTGCTGGTAGCGCTGCTATTGGAACACAATCACCACCTACACCAGGAGACAATGACGCTTTGAATTCGGAGGTTGAAGGGAATGGAGTATCTGGCGCGTGATACTCAGAGGCAGAAGTGATATTGTACTCCGCATATTTCATAATACCAAACTTTAGCACACAATAGAAGGGTCTTATTCTATGAAAACCAATATCGATAGTTAGATATATAGAGTTTTCTCGCTTTCTGAGTCCGAAAATGAGATCGGGTTTAGCTAATTCGCAGTAGTTTTAGCGCTATGGGCTCTCAAAAAAAAGGATCTCGGAAGTTCTAAATTGCTCGTAGGCTGATCTGGTCTCGTTATGCATAATCTAAGAGCTATCATTGGTTGATAATGAGATTCGTATGGTTTTCATGAGAAAGACGCAGTACGACTCCAGTGGAGTCGTCAATAGTAGTGTCGCATCGTGATGTGTAAATCAACAGCAAGATGAGATCGCGAATGAAAAGTATATATTTATAAAGGTGCATCTTTAGCCCCAAATAAGCTCGATTGGTTGAAGAGTCGGATGGTAAGGTGGAGTGAAGAAGACGAGACGATCGTACTTGGTGGTAATTTCAGTGACTTGATATCTTTTTGGTGGTCGATAAAGCTCGACCAACTCAATTAGAGTACGAATGGTCGCTTTAGGACTAAAACCCATGTCAGCTACACAAAAATAAGTTTTAAAAAATTAAATAATAATAGAAGAGAAAACAAACCGTTTTTGCACAGTCATTCTTGAATGTCGGCTTTAAGCCACCCTGATTTTTGTGGGCTTGGATTAATCTGACGCTTGTGGTACGATGCTCCATCTAAATAGATGTTGCGACGACCGTGTTTTTGCAGATTCTTGCATAAATCCTCAAACCAGCGCTCAAATTGGACGGCATCGAAATTACCATGGTAATCGTCGCTATTTGCTTTCTTTTTAAAGTGGAATTCCAAACCTTGATGGGAGGCCCCCACTTAGTACTGCTCCTTTGCTTTTAATAATTCCTGCAGCAATAATACACGCACTAACAAAAACCATACACAACAATTATTTAGAATTGATTTTTTAGCAAAACAAAATTTACTTACCGAGCTCCTCGTCCAGTCTTACCGTAGCGAATCTTATCTGCAGTCAACCATGTCTTACCTGTGACGTGGTTGACGTTGCAGTAAGATTCGTCCAGGTAGATTTCTGCTCTGTCGACTCCGAGTCGGACGCTTCACTTAGTTCCTCGCATTGGACCACGCACAGCAACTCGATTTGCTACCTT